AGCTTGAGTGACTGTTGATGACTGTGAAATGATGGTTGATGTCTCTCTGTCGTCAGAGGTCAAAACTATTTAAAACCCCATGGCAGCACATTTTTTTTTTTTGTTACTAATACAAAATTTACAATTATCTTGTGAAACTCATTGCCACAACTAAGAATACCTTTGTAGTACTCTGAAAGAATTGGGCATTTGTAAGGATAGTGAGAACATGAAGAGTTACATTAGACAGGATACAGAAATAACCAGAAGGAACATAAACCCTTTTCTGAAACCATAAAGCCACCTCTAGACTGATTGAGAATAGAGGGAAGTCTTTCCTTACGAGCAGTTTATTGCATACACATCCTCTACACGGTTCCGTACCCCTTCCAGCTAAGCATTTAGGATTGGCTACTGTTGGAGACAGGATTGTGAACTAGAAGCATCCAGAATGACAGACAAGTCCTGTACCTCTAGTGCCACCAGTTGGCTGTTGCATTTGATTTCTCCTCCAGTACCTCCACTTTTAAATAGAATACTAGTATGTATATTCACACAGTGAAGGGTGTGTTAAGCAACCACTAAGCGGGTTGAGAAGAGAAAGGTTAACAGGGTTGGCCTGTCAACAGAGGAGGAGCATTTCTGGAGTGCTCATCCTTGGCAATCCTCTGTGGCCATCCCTTCAGCCAAAACAATGCCTTGTCTACACCTCAAAATGGCATGTTGTATTAATGCATGTCAACACCTCTGTGAAACAGTAACCGGGGTTCATTCTAGTGGCCACCTTAGGACTATCGAAGACCAAACAAGAATTTAGACAAGGATTGTTGACTTAAGCACCAAGTGGTGTTTAACTCTGTGTTAATACTTGTTCTAACCCAATGCAATGTTCCAGTTTAGACATCCTTTATGTCAATTTCACATATACCTAGAGACACTTTGTAGAAGGTCTTTGTGTCTCTGGATTTTGGTACCTTTTTGCCACTCTAGCTCACCTATTGCAAAGCTCTTTCTCTTCTAACTACATCTGCCTGTGAAGATGCACATGAACATCTGAAAATATCCAGAGATTAATCAATTTAGGCATTTCCCCAAAAATGTGTGTGCCTGAAGCTAGGTCCCTAAATCCATGCTGTCAAAATTAAATTCCTTGCCTGATTTTCTGAGGGATTGAAGTCCATGGAAATTGATGGAATTTTAGACTCCTCCCCTGGGACTCAGGCACAAAATTCAGACGTGATACCAGGTCAGTAAGGAAGGGATGAGGACTGGACCATAATACTGACAGCAGGCTAAGCGAGATGCCACAGCACTACTCGTGGGTTTTAAGCTGTCCCAGTTGGTGTAAGATACAAATGGAGAAGGCCAAAAGAAGATGTGAGTTACACCAACATGGACACCCTTAGGTTTTGTCCAGCTTGTTTTGGTTATGCCTGGGGTGGAGTGAGGAGAGAGAAGAAAGGGGGTAGGCTTTCTGAATAGGAATGGAGACAATGGCGATCAAAGTAGGATCTGTGGTGGGCTACCAGCTGCCCTTACTGATGAAGTGAAGAATGAACAGGTACTGAAGGCCCATGAAAGCCTCTCTCAAAGAGCAACCCATAGAATGTCAACTCAGAAAACCCCAGGCCCAGAAATTAATTGAATATGTTTCTTGCATCCCTACCACTCCCTACTATCTCTGTTCTCCCTAGCTCCTCTACCATATTCCACCAAGGAACTAAGCAACTACCATGACAAATACTCTTGTGTCTGAGGGCAAGTTCTTCATACATTCCACTCCATATTTCCTACCCTCTCTGCTGCCTAGAGGAGAACTGGCTCTGCCTCCAAAGAGGGCATCCTCTTTCCTGCTCCTGGCACTCCAAGACAAAGAGATTGCACGGATCTGATACACTCACTGGGGTGAAATGGGGGAGCTCAGAGGATACTTACAACAACATCAACAAGTGAATTTTGGATTTATGATGATCATCACCGGGTCCGTATTGTAATCTTTCAGGCACAGCTCATTCTAGAACATGCATGAAAATCAAAATTGTATCTCAACTTTCAATCTAAGCTTCAAACAACTGGTTTCCAGGTATCATTTACCTTAAGTTACCCTAAGCGGTGAAAGAATAGTCTCTACATATTCCAATTTACAGCAGATAGTTGTTAAAGCCAATAACTATATTCAGATGGATTAGGTCAAACTGTGGTCTCATTAGGAGGTATGCCCATTACAAATTGTTGAGAGAAACCAGAGTACCAATGTGGGTAAACCTTCAGTTAGAGATATACATACATATGCCGCTAGAGCCAAAAGTGTTCAAAGGATTACTCCCTATCCCACTGAAGTCACTACAGTATCACAAACTTTCACTGACTCCAAGGGGAGCCAGATCAAGCCACAAGTCAGGGAGAAACTGACTTCATGCTACAATGTTGAACAGTAATAGTTGAGTTGAGTTTCAGCTACCGATCCAATTCCAAACCTGACCATAAGAGAGTTTTTAAGGTACTGGAGATGCAGTGTTTGTGCCCTATTCTATGCAAAATGGCACAGAAGCTTATGTAAGTAACTAATACACCGATACCGGTGGTAAGGTGGAAGCTAGAGAGACCTTCAGTTGGAGTTAGTTACAGAACAAGCAACAGTACTTTGCTTTCTTATCCAAGTGCTGGACTTGCATAATTGTAAAACTGAGTGCATCCTCCAAGCAGTAAGTAGTATCCCCCTGGATTGTGTTTGCTCACCTCCCATCGTGAGCAGTAATGCTGCAGCTATACTGGGGGGCTGCTTGTATCTGCTCTTCCAAGGATGCAGGTTTCTATGAGTCTGTATTACATTTTAGAACAGCATGGAGTGAGCCTCTGAAGACGAGAACGGCAATGGCTGCAGGGACATGGCACTTGTAAAAGGGACCTATCCTTGCTAAAGAACCAGGGGGTTCTTTGCTATGGGGGTCCTGGCAAGATTCCATTGTATGGAGCTGACCCGTGTTTTGCCCTCTGGACCAGCAACAGTCTGGTCAGGTGTGCATGTAACTTTATCGAGATTCATTCGAAATGGGACAGCGGGCGAGATCATTTCCCTGAGCTGCCTGAAATCCAAGTGTGAAATTCAAGGGCACACGAAACGTGAACGAACTGCAAAGATGACACTGTCAGTGCCTTGAGCTGCCTGCCAATTATGCACAGCCACAAAATTGTTTTTTTCCTTCAAGGGCTCTCTACAGATGATATTGATACATTTTCCTGAGGGAGGAACAAACTCTGTCAGTTTCAGTGGAGGCATTCTCCCCACCAATTATTCTATAGCTAATCTATCTGGATAGGCTTCTTTCCTTCCTTCATTACCTCCTCCTCGCCTTCCCTTGACGTCAAGTCACACTACTTGGAGAAGTGGCTCTTGGAAGTGACAGAATTGTGTTGTTCCATGCCCAGTGTTGATCAAAGATGATATAAACCAACCTATAAGAAGAGTCTGTTGCAACTTCCTTTGCAAAGACAAATTGCTTTGTGTGCTCAGGTTACTTAGCAACTCAGAGTTATGGGACTGGCTCCAAGTTCACAAAAAGTTGAAGAATAAATTCCAGGTAATTTCTTCTCACTCCGAAACACTCTGTAAAATGGAAGGAGACCCAACGGTCCCCAGGCTAAACTAAGAAAATGGGAAATGGCTGTTGAAAAGGGGTTCATTAGTACCCCCATTTTATACTGAAACAGAAAACAAGACTTCTATTCTGAAAGGAAGCAAAGCCGGTATTAACTTTCTGATTCTGCTTTTCAAATATATATTTAACCTATTGTTCATCACATTGAGAGTCACCAGAAGGGGTTTTCTTTACAACTCACAGTTCTCAGAATTACAGATATTTATTTTTACATTTATTATACATTGCTCCCATTCATAAATGACCTGTTGTTCTCACACCCATCCACATAGCCCTTTTAAAGGCAGGCTGGATCACAGCATGAAGGACTGCTCAGAGCTCATGGACATGAAATCATTGAAAGCCTCCCTCTAGCTTACATGGGATTTGGATCCAGCCCCTCCTCAATTCGGAGCAGTTAAAACTAGTCCCTCCTACAGTACGTGACGGGCTACTCTGTGGGCCAGAGGCTCCCAATTGTGGGATCAGGACCTGTAATGGTCAACTCCTATGAAAGGGGAAAGGGAATCGATAATGGTGTATTTAAAAGGATCAAACCCCAGGAAATGCAGCTTTGGGGAAGGAGCATCAACTTTAATTTAGTTCTGACCAGCTTCACACAGTTGGTAACCATCTACCACAGAAGCACATTGATGTAAATCTGGTTTTTTAGCTTTCTTGCAGTGTGGGTGTCAGAAAATTCACTCTGATCCCTCAATCACTCCCATGTGATCAATCCTTCCTCTGGGCCTAATCCTGTTCCCACGTAATCCCATGACAAACTCTATTTTGCTGGATTTTAGTGGGAACAGAATTAGGCCCTCAGTTAAAACTGTCATCGAGCAGTGAACAGAGCCCTTCATTTCAAAGAAGAAATCCCATAGCCTGGTACCTACAGCACATATACCAGCCTAGAAAATTCATTCACAGGTCTCATCTGGAAATTGCTAAACCATTGCTTTCGGAAAGTGTCTCTGTGTCAGACGATACAGTCCCCAAAGTATTGAAGCATATAGCAAGGAGACTTTAGCTCAGAACACTTCATTGTTGTTCCCCCTCTAGACAGACACAATTTGAGTACAGCAGGTAGGGTGGGGCAGACATGTTAAGTACATGCTGGAACCTCCCTAACAAAGGAAAACTTGTACACCTGACAACATGAAGCATATCCTTTACAATCAGTGACCAGACCAATAAAAAATGCATAGAAATGTAAGGTTGGGGTATAAAAAAGGAAAGAAAATCGATTCTCCTCGCACAAGGAGTCATTTGCCAAGGAACAAACACCAAACAAAAAGCCAAAATCACTTGCCAGGGTGCAACAATCAAGGTTAAATGCAATCAAAGAGAAAGCAAACAGCAAACGCTCCTGCGTGGGGGTACCTGTTATAGGGGGTCCTCAGGAGCAGGGCCTGGCTGCCTGTGCAGTTGTCTGTGGGCGTGTGACAGCCGTACACTGGAGGTGGCACCGAGTACTGTTGATCGCCTGTAGACAAACCACCGAGAGTTAACCACCGCCAGGCTCAGCCCTTTGGGAAAAAATATGGAAAGGGAGGGGGCAGCTCTACATGAAAAGTCAGGGAAAGTTCCAATGCGAGATACGTTGGCTGGCTCGCTTCACGTTTAAACAGCTGCCAATGTAGCTGGAATGCAAACACAAGGATGTTGGGCCTGCACAAAGCAACAGAGTCGTTCAAGCAGTTTACGCATGTACTCTGGCCAGATTTTGCCGCCTGTGTAAATCCGGAGCCATTCTGCTGTGAATCACTCTGGATTTACAGTGAGATCTTCACCAGCCATGTCGCATTTCTAATGCCACTAAATATGACGCTCCAAGTATCTCCCATCGACGTGGAGCCCACAGGCTCAGCTGAGCCACATCACTAACCCTGGATTAATAAACGGACCCCTCGCCTCAGGTGCCGAGACTCCAGCAGGATTTGTAACCACTGGGGCCATAGTGCAGAGCGGATCTCTCTGCGCCTTTTTCCATTTCTGCTACCCAGAGTCTCTCACGTTACCTAGCGAGGTTTGCTGACTGATGGGGTCCTCGTGTTTGAAGGAGTGGTTGGCAAACTGGGCTGCGTGGTGCGAGGGAGTGTGGCCATAGCTTGGAGGCCCATCAAACGCCACTGTGCTGTAACCTTCCAAAAAAACAACAGAGTCAGGAGTTAGTTGCCTGGCCTTGAACTTTCTCATGAAGCAGCTTCCTGCGAAGGGCCTCCAGGCAAGCGTCCTGCGCACTGCCAGTGACTCCCGCCAGCCCCGAGAGTCCGGGGGGTGGTTAATAAACTAGCACGCTTTGTATCGATGGCTCCTGTCCCAGTGCCAGTCTCCCCTTGGGGCGGATGGCTACCCTACTCCGGCCCTGCCCCTTCTGCAGGTCACATTGGAAATGGTTTCCATTTGCCCCCATACCAATTCCCTCTCCCACTGCAGCCACACAAGTGCCCTGTCAGAGGGCATGGAGGCCAGGGCCATACATGGACTGGCCGGCAGAGTCCCGTTAAAAGAAAGTGGAGATGGTCAGACCTGGGGATGCCCTGAAAGGGGGGACTAGGCCAAGGAGGGGGCAGTGCCCGGGTGTGCGGGATGCTGAGTGCATCTCCGGTTCAGGGGCAAAGCCAGTGAGTGCCCTAGGAAGACTGGAAAATCGGAAGTTTCATCCATGTTTCAGAGAGGACAGAGTGGGTTCAGTAATAAAAAGGATGTTTTCATTAATCCTTGCTCATATTAAAGAGGAAGATTCCCATCTGCTGCGTATACTCAGCTGCCATTTCCCGTTCTAAAAAGTTACCCTTTCATCTTTTTTTTTTTTAAGACCCACTTTCCGAAGAGTCTGCAATAAAAAGGTGGAATGTTAAATGAAAAATAAACTCCTACTTTAAAGCGAAAATTGCTGGCCAAAATAATAAACACCCCATATTTGTCACCAAGCAGATTCAGATGGAAAGGGATCACCTCTGCTGACCCGAGGCCGACACCAAATCGTAAATCAGGCGCTTGGACACCCACTTTCATTAATTACTTGGACCCAGCTAAACAACTTCAGCTAAAAAGTAATTACAAAGTAATATTATCTTTGAGACTTCTCGGCTCATCAGCATTTACTCCCGGACTCAAAGATGTCAGCGCAGCTCTTTTGAGAGTAAATATGCACCTTAAATCTTTCTAGGTCCTCGAGCTCCGCTTCTTTATGAAGTTCCCATTTTCATCCAACCCACAGTAGTGTAGCTAATGCTGTAGGGGAACCGTTTCGACCAAACACACAGTTGGACGTTGGCTTTTACGAACTTCTTTTTCCCTATTATCGGGTGAATATTCCATTCCCCCCCCCCCCCCCCCGAAGCTTTACTCGGGATTGGAACCCAATTGGGGTAGGCGCTGTACAAACGACCCCAGCCCCGACAGTGTCCATGGAGGTCCCGTTGCCTTTATTTAAAAAGGCACGGGGAGACAGAGCAGTGGGAAGCAGAAGGTGGAGATTATAGGAAACACTGTGGCGCTGGAGTAGCACTAGTCCTAGGTCTCCATTTTATAATAAATCATCTGACTGTGGAGTTCCGTCACTGAGAAGAAAGGAGGAAGCTACAAAACAGCAAAGATCTGAATTATTCTACCCTCAACGTCGTTTGAAGCCAGCCCTTTGGCCCGGGCTTCCATTAAACACCGAGCCTCATTTCCCCAAACCAACCTATCCTTCGTGGCCCACCCCCATCTGGGAGTTCAGTGTCTTTTCCTTGGCCCCTTTGGTAGCGATGACAGCACGGGTACCCCACGGGCTTCCATGTTACAGCTGTTTCTCGCCCTCTTATCTCCTTCATAGACTGAAGGAGAATATTTTTTTCTCCCCCCTTCACTCTCCTTGTTTCTCGTCAGCTTGCTAAAACACTAACACTTTCTTAGTTACTTTTGGCCTGCCGCAGACATTTGGTGACCTTCGAAACTCTACTCTGCGCAGAATGATGTTTTGGCCACATTTTCCGGTGTTGCCTGACCCAAAGCTTCAGGAATGTGATAAGAGAGCTGAGTTCTGAACCAGCCTCCTGATAGCAAGGTCTCTTTAATTAGGACCTTATCAGAGGCCGGGCTGATTAAAATGTGCTGAAAATAATTGAAAGTTGTACATCTGTCGGAGCATGCGATCGTCTGAAGGAATCCAATTGTTGGAGGACTCCAGCTGGAGGAAAGGACAGGGGAGCCAGAAGAGAAAATGGGCAGAGGTTTCAAAGCCTTATTCCCCCCCCCAACGCTTGGCGAAAAAGTGATTGCTGAGCCAAGGTAGCGTCTTTCCCACGGTCTAAAAAAGCCAAGTGCAACCTTGACTGATTCAAAGCAAGAACATTTTATTCAGCCCAAAGATTCTGTTTGCGATCTCACCAAATTCCTTTCGGCCCAAAGGACGCATTGTGTGCTGCACAAATATTTGTGCGTGGCAGGGAAGAGGTTCCTACTCGTTAGGATTTACCACTGCCCTGCGCGCTATAACGGTACGTGCATCGAAGTACCGCACGAACGTTTGGGTCTTGAAATCAAATATTCACTGCCTGGGCGCCCAGCCGGGGGATTTCTCCATTGGTTTAGCAAGCAGAGTCGATGTTCAGGAGGCCTAGTGAAAGCTGGGAAAGTTTAGCCAGGCAAAAGCCACAGAGGAAGCTTAGCCGATGCCACGCGTCCCCCGCAAGACCCAGGTTAATAAAGCCGTTCTGGGAGCTCTTTCAGTATTGGATCAGCCTGACCCTGGTCTTCTCCGTTCAGAGCAAAAGTAAGTGAGGGAAGCGCGACAACTTTGTAATTATCAACATATTAACACAACCGGTTGCGGGAAGCCAGGTCGAAATGCTCGGGGTAGCGCGCCCCTGCATTGGTCAGAAAGTGCTGTTTTTAGCGGATCCACTCACAGAGTGATAGGACCCGACTCACCTCACCTCTCGTTTAGACAACTTTGTCTTACAATAGACATAGCAATTTGCTCCCAGGGAGAACTGTATTCCCCCCCTGGAGATAAGCCACCAAGTTTGCCCTACAGTAATACAGCGCTCCAGCCAAAGCAATAGTGAATATTGTTCTTTGAGAGAATTAAACCAATCTCTCTCAAGCAAACAATTTCTTACGCTGGTTTTCATCAAAATGGTGAAATAAGTTTACTTTGGGTAACAGAATCTAAGAATCGATTAACGACACTCAATCTAACCAACTGCATTCGCCACCCATCCAAATGAGCTTACTTTTATTTTAATAATTAAAGTTACTTTAATGTCGTTCGAACTAAAATTTCCTTCCCCCCTGACACCTTTCTCCGTGATGATCTACAAATATTTGCAGTATACAGCTCTAAAATATAACTGAGAATGTGTAGTCTCAGCTCAGAAAGATACACAGGTAGCCTGTATCTGGTCCCGAATTATTAAAACGGAATTATTCTTATTTTGAGCAAAATGTAAGAAAAAAAACGTTTGCTAGCTATACTGCCCTTGTCTATGTCTTAGAAGTGGCTCGCTTTCCCCAATTCTTTCAGTTTTGTTTGTTTGGTTGTTTGTTTCCTGGAATACCCCAGGAACATTGCAGACATAATTTGAAACGTAAGCAAACATAGAATAACTTCTTTGGAGACCGTAGGTTGTGCGAAAAGGGCTTAACATTAAAAGTCCAACATTAGCCGAGCCCAAACTACAAAAAAGCCAGAATAAAACAAACAAAAAACCCAGAGCGGGTATTTGGAAAGATGAATGCTCTTCAGTTTGCAAATCACGAAAGGTTAAGTTTCCCATAGCGTTATTGTACATAAGGTGAAGGAGAGTAGCGGTACTCCGGTACCCCCGGCTACTCCACTGCCCAGTATTCTGTGTTTTAAAAACAATAAAAATAACAGAAAAACGCCCTTCGGCGCGCGCACACGCTCAGTTCTCAAATAAATCTGCCATTCCCCCCCCCCCCAGTTACTCGAGAGATCGCTTTTCAATAACAAGGCGTTTGAACTGCTTTGGGGATCAAGGACATGAACACAGCTCAGAGACACGTTACGTTTACTGCTCGAGACTCAACGAGCTTCGCATTTGGGTTTCGGGACTGCTTTTCTAACGCAGTGGCTACAATAATTAGGTAGTAAATGATGAGGTTCAAACACTTCATCTTTCTGCACCTCGAGAGATCGCTTTTCAATAACAAGGCGTTTGAACTGCTTTGGGGATCAAGGACATGAACACAGCTCAGAGACACGTTACGTTTACTGCTCGAGACTCAACGAGCTTCGCATTTGGGTTTCGGGACTGCTTTTCTAACGCAGTGGCTACAATAATTAGGTAGTAAATGATGAGGTTCAAACACTTCATCTTTCTGCACAGCCTTAACTCTGCCTCCCCAATGCCTATTCCACGCAATTCAAATACGAATGAAAGGCCCGTTTCTTTATCGGGGTGATGGGCCGCCAATCTGCATTACAACGAGGCACCTGAAAAGGTAAGCGGTTCGGCCCTGCCAATATTGCACTCCTTCTGCAGAAGAAACTCTCTTCTTGAAGCTGACAGGTGTGTGTGTGTTTGCACACGCACGCACACTTTGTGGGTGTACACACATACTCCTGAGCGTCTGTGTCCACGCAGCGGCAACAGCTCTAGTTGGTGCAGGGCAGACAGAACACCTTTGCTCAGGAGGGGTTCGTTGAGAAATCATGCAACCGGCCTGAAAGTCTCTTCCGTCTGACTAAAAACCCGATCCGGCCTTATTTAGTGTCTCTTAAAAGCTCTCATTAGCTCACGGGTGTCCCACCTATAATTCTATTTTCCCAGTGTTAGGTTTCCGGTGAGTTTTGAGATGCATTTAAGACAATTAATTAGTAGTTGGTTAGATGAAGTACCTCTAACAGAGGAAACTCTTAATCGAGGAGCCATTGCAAGCCTTCAGCTTCACCAGGACAGAATTGCGCATAGAATAAAAAAGACGCATTTATTTCCTCGAAAGGGGGGAAAGGCAGTACTTTATTACATGTTGCTTGGTATATCCTCCTTCCACGGCCACGTCTGCTGATATTTAAATTACAGCAGATTGAAGGAAAATGATTAGATTATAGCTATCTTTCCAGGCATATGGATTGCTGAATTTCTACTAAAAGATTCTTCTGGTAATTTAATGTTTGTAAATTAAATGGCTATTGAAAATAGGAAATACCACAGGGATTACCTTGTCGGAGATGACATTACAACACCACATTGAGAATATCTAAATTTTATCCCAATGTTTGCTTAGTTCGGAGGTTTATTTTTTAAATATCTGCCAATTATGGGAGATGCCACAGTTCGCTGATTACTGAAGAGGGGAAAGTGGGCGTGTTATTTCACAGTTTCTAAAAGTTAAACAAATAAAAGGGCTTCAGATTAAAAGCACATTCTAACCTAAGCGACTTATGTACGACGCATTAGCAGTTTAGGATACATCCCAACGTCATACCAGAGACATTAGAAATCAGTTCTTTCGAGCACCTTGCCCGGCATTGGACTGTCGCACTTGAACACAAAGCTGTGCAAGCGGAAAGTTTCACGGGCTACGAGAGCGAACCACCCACCTGCGCTAAGTGGGAAGCTGAACTGGAACTCGGCTGAAGAGCGAGCAGACCAGCAAGGCCACTTCAGATAGTATTCGAAAGAGAGGCCGAGCGAATGGCTAGCCCGGTTTAAGCCGGGGTGCAATGGAAGTTCCTGCAGAGCCCCGGCTGGCAGAACCGGTCCCATCAATGTTGGCCCAAAGGGACACACCAAGCCCCGGCGGAAGGCTGAGGGGAAGGTGTCTGGTAGTGGTGGTCTATTGAATTGCAGGAGGAGGCGGCCCGCGAGGTTCGGGGTTACCTGACCCAGCTGCTGCCCGGCGGGCTGTGTTTACGCGCCTGTGGGGCTGGCAGCCCTACGCGGGAGAGTCCCATTCGCCATCCCCCGCCCGGTGCCCCCGCCCGGTCTTACCCTGGTTGCGGATGGCTTGCTGGCTCTCCAGGCAGCTGGGCCAGTAGGGGCCGTTGGGGAACATGCGAGCCTGGCTGGAGGGCGCCTGGCTGGGCGCGGGGGCGCCGAAGGGCCCGTAGCGGCAGGCGCCGGCGGTGCCGGTGAACTGGCCGGAGAAGTGGACGGTGAAGGCGCTCAGGCATTGCTCCTCGTGCGGGTCCGCGCCGTTCCAGCTGGGCTCCTGCTTGATGAAGGAGTGCGGGGCCAGCGAGCCGTAGGACGCGCCCGGGGGGAAGTCCAGGACGGGCGCCCACTGCGCGGCGCTGCTGACGGGCATGCTGCAGTTGCTGTTGCCCGGCAGGGAGACTGGCCGGAGAAGTGGACGGTGAAGGCGCTCAGGCATTGCTCCTCGTGCGGGTCCGCGCCGTTCCAGCTGGGCTCCTGCTTGATGAAGGAGTGCGGGGCCAGCGAGCCGTAGGACGCGCCCGGGGGGAAGTCCAGGACGGGCGCCCACTGCGCGGCGCTGCTGACGGGCATGCTGCAGTTGCTGTTGCCCGGCAGGGAGGACACGGAGGGGAGCAGGGCGTTGATATCCCGCACGTCGGACCCCATCTGGTCGCCAACTTTCCTCCTGCCGGCCAGCCAGTCCC